TACCCACCTACCCATCCATCCATCCATCCATCCACCTATCCATCCATCTACCCACCTACCTATCCATGCATCACCCCATCCATCCATCCACCTACCCACCTACCCATCCATCCATCCATCCATCCACCTACCCATCCATCAATCTATCAATCCATCTACTCCCCTACCCACCCAAATCTTGTCTGTTCTATATCTGACACCATACTTAGCAATGGAAATATGTAGATGAGATAATGATCCAAGGCCCTCGCTTTGGGAAGGGTCCTTCTGGAAGAGTTTCAGAGAAGTGTGTGATTGGGCTCGTAATGGAAAATGCACCAGGTTTCCCAGTGCAGCCTGCTGTCAGTCAGTACTGAGCTGACACAGAGAGTAAGCAATGGGCTCTTTGGCTGACCTGGCAGCTCAGCTGCGCTTCTCCCTCATGCCTTCATGCCTTCCCTTCTTTCTAACTCTCACAAAAAGTTTCCTAAGCACCTTTCTTTCTTATACTAAGGATTGGGAATAAGTCCAGGACAGGCAGACAGAAGGCAAATAAGCAGCACTCGGTGCTCGGTCAGTGCAGCCCACCCCCTCCCAGATACCCTCTTGTCTCCATCTCCCCAATTCTGGGCCTACAAGCCTGAGATACCATGCCTAGCCAAGGCCCTCGCTTTGGGAAGGGTCCTTCTGGAAGAGTTTCAGAGAAGTGTGTGATTGGGCTCGTAATGGAAAATGCACCAGGTTTCCCAGTGCAGCCTGTTGTCAGTCAATACTGAGCTGACACAGAGAGTAAGCAATGGGCTCTTTGGCTGACCTAGGAGCTCAGCTGCGCTTCTCCCTCATGCCTTCACGCCTTTCCTTCTTTCTAACTCTCACAAAAAGTTTCCTAAGCACCTTTCTTTCTTATACTAAGGATTGGGAATAAGCCCAGGACAGGCAGACAGAAGGCAAATAAGCAGCACTTGGTGCTCGGTCAGTGCAGCCCACCCCCTCCCAGATACCCTCTTGTCTCCATCTCCCCAATTCTGGGCCTACAAGCCTGAGATACCATGCCTAGCTTTTTAAATGTGGGCTCTGGGGACGGAACTCAGAGGCAAGTACTTTACTGACTGAGCCATCTTCCCAGGCCCTGAAGCATTTTCTTGGAAGTGATCGGTGCATAGCTCTGTGAACATCCAGCTGACTCAGAAGTGCTAGCTGAAATCAGACCCAGGGTGGCCTGCCTTCTCTGTAGCTCCCCAGATGTAAAAATGACACGGAAGTCCGCACCCTCCTGAAGGGCCCTACCACACCACATGGCTCCCAGGAGTGTGAACTCACTCCCCAGTGAGTTCAAAACCCTGCAACAGGGAGGTGCCACATGAACCATGACAGGCAGGTCCTGTGTCCTTAAAGAGCTGGAGTTTCGTGGACTCAGCAGCTTTGAGGCAGCAGCTGAGGGTGGCACTCCTCAGCACCAGCCCTGCCCAAATCAGGCACATTTCCCTCCTGCAAGATTGCAGCATTGCCTGGCTCAGCACTGAGTGCTGAAAACCCTCACGAGAGCGACTCTTCATTCTCTGGTATCGACTTTCCAGTTTTAGTTAAATTGCATTTCTCCTTTTTGGGGGCTATTTATGCATTGTGGTGAGAGTTGCTTAATTCAACTCCCATAATGAAGCATTTATTGCCACTTAACAAAACCCAGACGAAGGCGTCAGGAGCTGAAGATCCGTGTGCTCCCCTGAATAAACTTTAGGATTGGGGTACTATCCATATGATCGCTTGATTTATAAGTAGACTTATGACATATTTTTCTTTCAAAATGAGGAGATGCTGAGCTGGCAAGATCACCGTGTTTCATATTGCATCTCTGAGAACCTGAGAGAACTCTGGAAGTGCTAGAGGCTACGGGACACTGGTGCTGTGCTTGATGGTGTGTGACAGTGTGTGCATGCACACACACATGCTGGGTGGAGGATAAGGACAGCACTGGGACGCCATCAGTTTTCTCCAAAGTAAAAGAAACTGTGGGCACTGGGGAGACAGCTCAGTGGGTAAAGCACTTGCTATGCACGAAGGCCTGAGTTTGGGTCCTCAGCATCCACGTAAAAGCCATATGTGTGTGTCTCTAATCCCACAGCTAGAGAAGCACAGACAGATGGCTCCTGGGGGCTCACTGGCCAGTCAGCCTAGCAGAAACAGTGAGTTGTAGGTTCAGTGAAAGGTGTTGTCTAGGAAAAAAGGTGGAGAGCGATTGAGGAAAACACCCAATACCCAACGTCAACCTCTGGCCTCCATACACAGGTGCAGGTGCACACACATACATATAACACACACGAGAAGGGGGCGGGGCTTAGAGGAGAGTGGGAAATGAGACGAAGGAAAGGGAATCAAAGTCTGCTTTTACATTTTTTAAACCAGAAACAATTACATTTTCTAAGGGCAGCTGCAATTTAATGTGAGTTTCTTTTCCGTGCTGCAATAATTCCCCAAGGCTTAGAGGAGAGTGGGAAATGAGACGAAGGAAAGGGAATCAAAGTCTTCTGCTTTTATATTTTTTAAACCAGAAACAATTACATTTTCTAAGGGGCAGCTGCAATTTAATGTGAGTTTCTTTTCCGTGCTGCAATAATTCCCCAGGCCTCCTTCTGTTTCCTGCCCCTCGAGGGTTAAGTCTTAGGTCATCTCAACTCATTCTTGCCTTTTGTTCTCTGCCAACGAACATACAATTAGAAGTGTCACGGTGGTGCTTAGACTAGAGTTGGCAATGAGGATGTCCCCCAGGTGGCTGGTTCCTCTGAGGGAGGGGCCTGCTGCGGAAAACGGACTGGGGAGGGGTTTTCTGTGCCATCTGAGGAACGTGCGGTAGCAGGTGTGGAGAGAGAGATGGCCCTAGTGCCTCACCCACATGGACGCGAGAGGAGGCATTTGCCAAGGGGGCATTTACCGACCTCGGATGAGACTGTGGGCCCAAGATGCGTGGGCGAAAGTTAACGGAGACTATGGGTGGGCCACAGGAGCATCTGGTGGCAGGCTCTGCGCCCCTGGTGCAAGAGGGCTTGTCTCTGTGTAAGTTCCCCATTTATGCCCTCCCTACCCGAAGGCATAAACCATAATGAATTCACATAAAAATATATTATGTGGTTTGTCTGATCAGGCAAGAGACCCCCGAGAGAACTCTGGCATCAGAGGACACAAAGATTCATAGACCACAGTCTCTGCTTCAAGAAACTTACAGTCTAGGCCAGAGCTGCCCAACAGAACTTTCTGGAATGGTGTGATAGTCTATGTCTGTGCTATCTACTGCGTCAATTATTACAAGACGCATGAAATAGCTCAGTATGACCCAGAAACTGATTCTTACAGCTTAATTTCAATTAATATAAAGTTTAAATAACCACACATGGCCATTGACTACTTATTGAATGATCCAGTGCTCAAGAGAACAGGGGTTCTTTAAAGAGACAGGTTACAGTTTAAAGTTGTGTAAGTGCTCAGGATGGTGGATGTGTGTTTTTAGAGACTGGGAAATCAATCAGACTGTGGTTCACTTGCAGGGATGGGAGGGAGCCTGGCAGCTCTGGGGTAGAAGGATGAGGGATAGATAGGAATCCACGGTCAGCTTCTATGTGCTGTGTGTGGAATCCACAAGCCAGCTTCCATGTCCTGTGTGTGGAGGCCCAATAGGGTCTCTTCCTTGAGTTACTTCATAACAGCTACAGGGCAGACCTTGAACTTGGGAAAGGACAGGGCCGATGTGGTGGCACATTGAAGTAGACCCAAAATCAGGACTGAGTTTACGTCAGTCTAGATGGATCAACTGACACCAGTTCTTGCTATCACATCTCACGAGACTGGTGGTATGTGCACATGGAAATCAGGCCAAAGGTTGCCCAAATTTTACATTTTCAGATCTTGAAATAGGAATTCTTTTAAAAATAAGTATGAAATTTAAGTATTTTGTTATGGTCACCAATTCTAAGAACACTGAGTAAAACCAAACAGTCAACATGGGGGCTGATTGAAGTCCGGGGTGTCTGTGTGTGACATGTGACCTGGTAGATGGGTTCGAGTTCACAGACAGCCCGAGGAGGAAGGGTTGAGAGAGCGGGAGAGGGAAGAGACACAGGGACCTAGGAGAGCTGCCCAATTATACCCAGGGCAGCCTGGGGGATCTGGGACAGAGCCTTGTCTGCTTTCCTCATGTCAGCCCTCTGACCCCCCTTCCCTTGTACAGGATCGAGGACCATAGGTTTTATAGAACGGGGGTGGAACAGAGGCCAGTAAGGAGGAAGGAAGAGAAATAACCATGGTGACCTGGCCTTGGGTGTGTGTTTGGCCACGTCATATCCCATCGCACTTCCCTTTAGAATTTTGTCACCCAGTCATGTGTAAACATCTCAGTCCTACCTACCTTCACAGCCTCGAGCGCCCTGGAAACCCACATCTTCCCTTCTGTGGGAGCCCCATTCTATTCTCAAGAAAAAGAAAATAAATTCCTCTCAGCTCACCTCCCGGTCCAGCAGTGCAGGTGACACGACAGTGACAATGTCGCCTTTCTCGGGATCGATGTAGAACATGTTGGGTGACGGCTTGTCGGGTGTCTGCTGACGGATGTTATATCGCAGAAGGGCGTTGTCAGTGGCCGGGTCATCCGCATCAAATGCTGTCATCCGCATCACCGTGGTCCCTGTGGGGGGAAGGACCAAAGGGAGGGAGATGGTCATCAAAGGGGGCAGAGATTGGTCAGGGCCCCTCCCCCCAGTGGAGTAACCTCTCAATCCCTCTTCAGATTCAAAAGACAAATCATTTCCCAAGCCCTGCTATGTTTTAGCTTTTCTTCCCCACGCCGGCACATTAAAAGACCTGAAATAAAGAAAAGAAATCTCTGCTGTTCAGCGAAGTGACAGCTTAATTTTTCCTTCTGTGATGTATTTTCACAGGCTCTCATTCCATTGTGGACGTGACTCTGTGACAACGATTTTCTTTTAAAATCTCTTAGGGGATGCCGGCCATGTGAACCTGGAACGGGTGCTGGGGAAATAGAAACGGAAAAAGGGCACACACGTGGCAACTCCAAGGACGGGCACATACAGGGGCTGAAAATAGTAAATAGTGCATTGAGATGGGGCGACATGAACACAGCATCTAGCCCGGGCTCAGAGAAGTTTCCAGACGTAGACAGCCATGGAGTATGGAGGGAGAGGCAGGATGAAGCAGGAGAGGCTGTCAATGGAAGAGCCATTCCAGGTAAAGAGAATATGCAGACATTCAGTGAGCATCTCTTAGGGAGCACCCAGCCGCTTTTGGGTGCTTCAGATGTTAGAGATGAGGGTGTCAAGGTGAGACACTTACTCAGACAAGCAGGAGGCACAGACACAGGACCTACTTCTATAACAAGGCCAGAGAATACTTGATCATGCTGAGGATTGATAGGGTGTCATCTTATGTGACGGGTCTTGCTCACACAGCCAACACGAAGAGGAACCAGGATATTGACCGACATGGGCAGTTGGGTAGCAGTGGCAAAAGCAATTCATTTGCTTTCTTGGTATCTACTCTGAAGGACGCATGCCAAGGGATTTGTACAGGAAGCCCATAGAAAGTCTTCATCATCATGGGAAATTGGAATTAACCTAGCTGTCCAGGAATAGGGAGATCAATACAACGACTCTATCCACACACTATGAAATACTTTGAATTTCTGAGACGTTGTGGCTCTAATACATTTAACATGGATAACACTCCAGGACATATCACTAAATTTAAAAAAAGTCATTTTGAAGAAATAACTCTTCTGATGATGTTGCTTGTGTGAGCTCATTTGCTGTAGACAATCTCACATCCTGTATGGATTGTCCAGACACTGTGATGTCTATAGAGCTGAGCCTCCCACCGATGATGGTGGATGAGGGTGAAGAAGGAATTGGAGTTAGGAATCGCTCATCACGGAACATGTCAGCTTAATCTGTAATATTTTGGTTATCTTGCAGGATAGATTCAAAGCTTATGCAAGTAAAACGTAAGTTTTTACATGACAGCATTACAAACACAGAGGAACACGGTCTGGAACTGAATCAGACAAATATGTTTGCTCACTCTGACAATTTTCTGACCATCACACATGGGCTCAGGATGATGTGTCCAAGCACGACACTTTGTGGACGCAACTGGCAGGGCAGAAGTGTTGTCCCATAGGGAACATTCCCCGTAGGGAAAGCCACATATAGAAAAGACCTTCAAGACAGAGTTTCCCCTCTCTACCTAACGCTCCTCCATCAGTATGCGCTGCCCTGACTGGTGCCCGTACAATGCTTCAGGCCTCTGCTTCAACCCGACTGACCAGAGACACGGTTCTGTCTGTAGAGAAGAATGGCTGACGGGCCAACTTGCCTTGGCCATGTCCACAGCTGGGGACCCTTCACCACCTTCTCTAACCCCTTGATTTGATGCTCCTTGGAGTTCCCTTCTGGAAATGGATCCAGTCGTCACAGACAACTCAAAGGTCAAGGCCGGGAGTTAAACCTGTTCGGTGATTCCTGCTGTCTGTGGAGATGCCTGAGCGTCAGTCCTACCCCAGTTCATATGTTCTGGACTGGAAGAACACCCTCATTCCCAGCAGCCTGGCAGCCTCCTGCCGTGCTTGTCTGGTGCCTGTGTGTGCTTCCAAATGACAGAGAAAGGATAATTATATGATAGACATACTTTGGGTTCTCCACACAATACCTCTCTGTCTTTTCCCATCATGATAGTCGAGGTGTCAAAATAAGCGATAATCACCCCGTCATTCCCAGAGCCAGACAAACCAGCAGTGGCCCTCCGGAGTGAAATAAAAGTTACAGGTTGGTGGCTGTGCGTCTCGAGTCAGACAGTCATTTTCTGTTGTCAAAGGACACAGCTGCCAACCTTCCAGGCTGGGAACAGTGGCGGGGGGTCATTCTGTCTCGGGCAGAGAACCCCTTCCTCTTGGCTGTAGCTCTCTAATTGAAAGAGGTATACGGCCTCTTTGACCTTGGATGCCCATATTTGAAGTTGCTTTCCTGTGAGTTGCAAACCCTTGAGAAATGGGGTACAGGCCTTCCAGTGAGGGGCTGTTTCAAGATAGCCTCAGGGTGGGAGACTAAAGATGGCTGGGTATGGCTTTACTCTGATCTTGAAAATTCTTTTAATCTTTTATTTATTCTTTAGCAATTTCATAAATGTATACATTAATCCTACTCAGCCCCAAATCTTCCCCCAGGACACTCCCCAGCATGGCTCCACTATGATGTCCTTTCCTGTGTATGTGGTGTGTGTGTGTGTGTGTGTGTGTGTGTGTGCGTGTATGTTCCAATTAGTGCTCCTTGTTGGACTCTTGACTGATCTTGTTGACTTGACCTTGGGCGGGCACCCTTAACTGCAGTGAGCTTGTGTCTGCCACAGCTATGTCATGCCCTGAAGACAGCACTCCACAGCCATCCTCCCCAGCCTCTGGCCCTTAACATTCTTTCTAACAGACCACGTGGATCTGGCTGCTTCTTCCTGACAGGCCCCATCAGTGAAGAGAGACAGGCATAGTTTGAGCAGAACAGTACTGGTGAGGTGCCAAGCTGTCTGGTTCTGAGTCCTGGCCTTGTGATTTATCAACTGGGCATCCTTGGGCAGCCACACCTCGGCTTTGTATCCAAACATCTCCTCCTTCAGACGGCATTGTGGACACTGAATACATCAGTGCCAAGCATCCCATTCTGTTTATTTTCCTATTAACTGTCTGGGAAGATGGCACAGTGGTTAAAGCACTGGTACCACGTGAGTGTGAGGACCAGAGTTCAGCTTCTAGAAACCACAGAGATGTCAGGCAGGCACATTCTAACATGGGGAAGGCAGAGACAGGCTTTCTGGAGCAACATGACTAACTGCATCTGCAAATTCTGGGCTCACTGTAGACCCTGCCTCAATGAACAAAGTTTGCACTTGGCTCTGAGGGTGCGCATTGCCCAAGGAAATGACGGGATGCCTCAGGGGACTGGACCTGCCCTAAGACTCATACTCGGGAGGCTCAGAAGCAGGAATGATTTAAAACCACAGGAGCAGGGCCGGAGGGATGGCTCAGTGGTTAAGAGCACTGACTGCTCTTGCAGAGGACCTGGGTTCGATTCCCAGCACCCACATGGCAGCTATGAACCATCCTTAACTCCAGTTCCAGGGGAATCCGAAGCCCTCTTCTGACCTCTGCGGTCATTGCACGACACGGGTGCACTCACATACATGCAGGCAATACACTCATACACATAAAATGAAAAAAAAATATATTAAAAAAACCCACAGGAGCAAACAATTCCTTTCTCTCTTTACAGGAGCCTGGGCGTTTCTGTGGAACTCATGTGTGCTTACACAGATCTTCTCTGCTCTCTGCATCCCTGTGTGCTCAGGAAATAGGCAAATTATCAAATGATCAGTACATGAAAGGGAACCACCCAACCCACTGGGCATCCAGAGGCAGCCCACGTCCCCCAGCCTCTGTTTCTGGAAAGCCATCTATGTAATGGGTCATAAATAAGGTCTTGTTTCCCAGCTGATCTGCATTAGTACCTCAGGCCTGAGACCATGACCAACCACGCCTCATAACTCAGCTGCAAGTATACTTACTATTACCCCAACACTCTCCTGACAGGTGGGGTGGGAGCCGGAGGTCAGCTCTCTGCCCTGGTGGAGATTGTAACAAAGCCCCACTCTGACCCTCAGAGGGCAGAGGGAGAACCAGGAAAGGGCAGGAAGGAGAGGGGCCACCACCCTGACCTTGGGAGGAGGAAGGGATGCTGAAAACCAAACACAAGGCCTGGGAAACATGGCTTTCATCTCCGCCCCCTCCCTGCCTCAATGATACAGGGAGTGCCATTCACCAGCACAGAATCTCCACCATAGATGGGGGCAGAGGTAGAGAATCCTGGATAATGTGAGTTTTGATGAGGAGATATCACTGACCTTTGACAGCTGTGCCATCCAGCTGATCCTGACATGATTTTCTGTGTCCAGAGACAGGTCAGGAGTGATTAGGTCAAGTGCCAACCCAATGCCCACCACGGCAGTTCACAGGAAGATGTGATCTCATGACATTGGGAGGGGTAGAGCCGGGGACATGGAGCAGGTGGCCATCTGAGGGGCAGCTCATAGGACACACTGTATTACTGACGTGCAAGTTTTCAAGAAAAGATGGGAATTCGGAGTTTTTTAATTAGTTGTCAAAATGTTGACATGTTGGATGCCTGTTCAAGTTTTAAACGTAAAGATTATTAAGTGGAATTAGAAAGGCCAAACAAAACAGGGCTCGGTAGACACTATATGAAATTTGTTGTGTTCCAGCTTGACTTTGACTGATGTCAAAGTGATTTTTTTTTTTATGCCCAAGCCATGAACTACAGGTACTTAAGTGAGCACTGGAGGTGGTTCTGTTAACAGACGCCCTCTGCTATGAGTAATTTGCCTGTTTTACTTCTACCTCTTGGGACCAAGAAAATCACACTTCTATCCAAGAACCGACCTGACTGTGACCAAGGTTGTCTTCTTTCCAAGATGTATGTGCACATGTGTGAGCATGCGTGTAGAGTCGGGGGCTGTGTCTGTGTCTTCCTCTATCACTCTCCATGCTGTTTTTTAAATATATTATTCATTAAACTTGGAGCTGGCTGATTTCACTAGACTGACTGACCATCAAGCA